TTTGTCTTTTACATCTTGGGTATTTTTGAAGAATACAGGCCAATTATTTCACAGAATGTACTTCAATTCGAGTTTTCCTGATGATGCTTTATGATTAGACTCAGGTTATGCGTTGTTTGGGTGGGAGTACTACAGAAGTAATGTGTCTTCTCAGGGCATCCTGTCAAGATGCATGTAATGTTGTTTGTCTCATTCCGGTGATGTTAACTTCTATTATCTTATAAGGGTAGTATTTGCAATGTTATTCCACTATGAAATTACTCTTTTCCCCTGTGTTATTAACAAGTAACTTACAGGAGATGCTTTGAGATTTTATGAATGTCTTGTTCCTCATCAGACTTGCACCTGGTAATTTAGCATCCATAGATGGTTCTTGACTGAATCAGTTATTACTAGGATGATTCCAAGATGTAAGTTTTCTAACTCATTTCTCAGTGTATTTAGGGAAGAGCTTTCCTTTCTCTCCCATTTGTTTATTTATTCATTTATTTTATTAACATGGACTCATAGATTTTTATTTTATTCTGTGATACTCTGTTACTTATTTTGAGGGTCAAATTGTTTTAGATTTGGCTAATGGGAGCCCCTTTAAGTCGTAATTTTTAGATGCCCCCATTGTTCTTGGAGCCCTTTCTTCCTGGCACAGCAAGATGCCCCAGGTTTAGCAAGATGCTCCAGGCTCGGCCTTGGAATCAGTCATTTCTCCAAGTAGCCCTCATTCTTTCTAGTGGGGAGTAAGATTTATAAACTAAGATTTCTCAGCAAATAAGAGCTAAGAAACATAAATAAACAGACATATCTGTATCTCTTTGTGTGTGTGTGTGTGTGTATGTGTGTGTTGACCATGAGTTCATACTGTTGCCTGAACTCCAGTTCAGCACTGCAGGTCTAGTCTTGCTCTTTCGGTCCCCATCAGTGGGAATCTGGTTCCCATTATCCTCAACATTCGTACTTGTTTGCTTAGTTTCATAAGCAGAGAAATTAGTTCCAAACTACTAACCCGTACCTTATAACATGAGATCAATATTTGTTTATAGTTCTTTTTGTCTGTATACTGGCAGTATATAAAGTATTATGTTCAAAAGTTGTTTGGGTTAGTTTCCTTCCCTCTTTTAATACACTTATTTACTTGAGGTACAGTTAGCTTCATTTGTTCGTGTTTGATTTCCATTTTAGATTTTTTTCCTCTTTGTCCTTGCTGATTTTACTTTTTAAGTGTATAAAACTTGAGTATGGTCCCCAGAGTTAAAAGTATAAACTGTTGTACCAAGAAGTGTCACTACCTGATCCTTCCTCTCATTGCTACCCATCCCTGTAGACAACCAATTACTTTGATCTCTCCTTTCTGTGTTTCTTTTTATTAAAAAAAAATAGCAGGTACATGAGTATTTTCTTATTTTCTCTCACAAAAGGTAGCAAACTAAGTATATAGTCTTTTGGAATTTTCTTCTTTCATTTAATAGTATATTTTGTTTATCACTCCATGTTTGTAGTAATTTTCCTTATTTTTAACAGCTTCATAGTATTCCATTTGTGATGTCAGTGAATTCAAACATTCTCCTATGTTTGGGCATTTAGGTTGTTTCCAGTATTTTACAGTTGCAGACAATGCTGCAGCTAACAGCCTTACACAGACATATATTTGTATCATTAGGTATCATCAGGGAAGAAGAAAAGCTTTAACATTTTTAACTGAGCAGTAATGAGTAAGTGATTTTATAATAATACTTCAGCTCCTATCTTCCCATCTACTGTGATCTTACAAATGTAGTTAAGGCTGTGGATGTGAAATAATGTACTTAGATTTCTGTCCAGGAAACCTTGAAATTAGAGAGCTGGAAGTGGCCTTGGAAGCGTTTTTCATCTAGGTCCAGGTTCATTTTAAGCAACTGGCTATTCCTTTTACATACTGATCAGTGCATTTTACCACCGAGTACTCAGGCCCAGCTGTTCTAGTGCTTTTCTCTTTTAATTTAATTCATGTTGGGTTCCTTCCTGTCCTGCTGTTAACTGGCTGCTCCCTGGGGTTGTAGAATGGCAGTTGGATAAGACAAGTTATACACAGGATAGAAACAAGGATTTGGGCGTCCATTTTCCCTGGTAGATCTGAGCACATTATTGAGTAGCATAAACTGAGGGGCGCATCTTGGATTCTTAGATAATGCTGCTGGCCCTCTTAGGTGGTTGATGACTCCCAGTCTTTTGTCCCAGCAAATGGGCATTGAGGTAGAGGGGGGCCTCCTCCTGCATTGCCGGATAACCAGACCAACATAGCTTCCCATAAGAAGGGCTATGAAAGGATTATGTATATGTTGAGATAATGATCCCCTCAACCTAGGGTTGCCTGGAGCCTCCAGGCAGGTCATTTCTGGCCCTGAGATGATGCTTCAGTTTATGCACATGCTCTATACGGATGTTACCATTTTTTATGCATGTCCTGACATGGAAAAGGTTAGGAAAGTAGGCTAGAGCAATCTGAAATTAGCCTCTAAGAGCCAAGGACGATGCCCCTTAGAGAAGAACTGACTTATTCAGAGTAGCAGATTAAACCTGCTGTCCATAAAAATAAGGTGATCACCGTATCTTAAATCTGATGTGATTGGAAATTATTTCTGTTTACTTCTTTGCTAAAACAAAAGTTAGAAATTGAAAAAAAAATTTTTTTTAATGTCTTGGACTGAAACCCCATTGTACAGGACGTTGGAATGCCCAAGGTGTATTTTGATTGGTTAGATTGGTGCACCATGATTTAATCTCTGTTGTGAATACCTCTCAGGTGTATTTCAGTATAGTTTTCACACCTGAGTTGCTTCTCTACTTACCTGTTTTATCTGAGTAGCATCTCATTAAGTTGTCTAAACCTCCTTGCGCATCTCTCAAAATGCGCTTCTGAAGTATTTATTTTACTTAAAATACATAAAATTTGATGATTCTGACATTAAGGTAGTTATAGTTATCAATTTTGAAATAAGCTTATTAAAACAGACTTTTATCTCATTCTTTTGATGTTTTCGATATAATTTAATTTTAAGTCAGATAAAAGAGGAGTTTCTGAGGGGTTTTTGCTGACTTTGGCTTAGATATTTGGAACTTTTCTCTGAAAAGGAAATGTCAGCTGCAGGTCCTTTTAATGAGTGGAAACTCGGGGGAGAAGTTCTGAGAATTAGTAGTCATGGTCTATGTGGACATACGTTAACTGCTTAGTACAGAAGCGCAGTCACCAGAGTTAACCCCTGATAGTCGCTTTACTCTTTTCAGTATATGTTTAAGGGAAGGGAACTGAGCGTCACTGGGTGCTTTCTGTTTGCTGGGCCTCTTGTCGTGTACTTGATACCGCTTGTCTCATGAATCCCTTACCGTAGCTGTGTGAGGCAGAGGAGGTGTCTGTCCTCTGTTTACAGATGAGGAAGCAGGCTCGGGAACCACCTCCTTAAGGCCGTAGAGTAAGAGGCTGGCGCAGCCAGCAAGTGAGCCTCAGACTGTTGGTTCTGGAGCCCGTGCTTGCTTCATTATGCCACATGATCTCTGAAATGTTCCTTTTGAGTCCACAGAGTAACAGTTACTTTCCTAGTAGGGTAACCAAGTCAGTTTGGTACATTTTTGTGTTAAAGAAGGAAGGAGTTCTTTTGGCAGGATTAGAAGCCAAGGGCGGGAAACAAGGCCTCGGTGTAGTTCAACCAAAATGACATGGAGTCCTGGTCACCGTGCCCGTCTCCTGGTTCCTCCTCCTGGGCTAGCTATGCACCATTTTTCAGAAAACTTTAAAAGTGTAAGTACTTCCTCAGAAATCCTGGGAGTCTGCTTAGGATGTGGGCTCTGAGCCAGCTACAGAGGCCTGGGATCAGACATTGCTGATAGGGTGTGATGGGGGTCAAGCCAGGCTGGCTGAGGACCCCGTCAGGACTCGTAGTAAAGAGAGAACTGGAAACAGAGATGGCGTAGGGTGTTCTCAACTCAGAATTATCTACAGTTTTTCAAATCCAACCTTCAATAAATGTGAGGCTTCCCACAGTGCTTCTTAAAGAGCATAAGCCAGAGAGGCAGAAGGAAGGAAGGACAAGGCTCTGTAGCTTTAAATGAAGAGAAAAGGAATTCCTGCAAGTGCCAATGACACTTTTTAAAGAATTTTTATCAAGAATTTGGGAATAGTGTCTTTGAGATTTTTGAAGGTTGTTTTCACAATGTAGCGCAACATTAGGAGTGTGGTTTTGCTCAAGAAAGAATTAGGTTGTCATATGGTAGTAAAATCTGGGTTTAAAATACTGATGGGATAAAGAAAGAACCGGTTTCAAAGGATGGTGGCAGCTTAGTTGATGATGGGCTGCCATGCTTTTACTCTCGTTACCTCTGTTGCAGAGAGGATAGTCTAGTCTTCAGTTTTGATTCCTTTGGGGTAGAACCTCTTGAAGGTTCTCATCCTCACTTCTACTAAACAGCAGCATCAGTCATTCCAGCGAGTTGTTTGGCAGAGGTGAATGCTGGAAACTATCACTTATGCCCCTCCTTCTCCAGGTGTCCTGTTATCTCTTGCTGTGTAACAAACTGTCCTACATCTTAGTGACTTACAGCAACCATTTTATTTTGCTATGATCTTACGATGGGTCAGGAGTTCAGGAGGAACTTGGCTGGTGTGGTCTCAGCCGGAGAACCTAAGGGTGGAGCAGCCACTTTCAGGATGGCTTCTTAACTCGTGTCTTGTGCCTGTGAGTCCTGGTCTCCGTTTCTGCTGCCCCTCTCCCTTTCCCACCTACCCCTCCCCTCCCCAGCCTCTGTGGTATCATATTCTGCAAGGTCTCTGTGTGTCATTTGGCTTCTCATAGGATGTTGGTCTCAGAGTGATTAGGCTTCTTACATGGTGGCTGGCTTTCCTAAGAGCAAGCATTCCAAGCAGTAGAAAGAGGAAATTGTCATTTTCTGAAAACCTAGACCTGCAAACTGACACGCAGTCCCTTCAGCCGTGCTCAGTTGGTCAGGGCACTGGCAGAGCCTGCCCAGGTTGCATGGAAGAGGACACAGGTGAGCCTCTGATGGGAAGCATGTCAAGGACTTTGAGGTCATCTTTAATCTGTAGTAGGGCCTTGAAACAGAGAGGAGAGAATGGCTATGAGAAATCCTGAACTGTGACTTCACCAGAAAACAATTTACTCATCTAATGACTCAGGAGAGATCCACATTGCTCACCTTGAATAAGAATGGGACCGAGGCAAGAGAAAACTACCAGAGGAGGAACGTGGAAAAGATTGCCTTTCCGACCAGGATAAGCTTTATTTCACCACTGCCTTCCTGCCTTGGCCCTGGACACTGGGCTCTGTGATCTCTGTGAGCCCCAGCCGGCCGCTTCTGACCGCTGTGGGTGTGGGGCTCATGTTTAGTCTCCCAGGCTCTGCCTTGGCTCCCATCCTGGGCCCTGGGCACCTCGTGTTACTCAGAGAGCTCTCCTGTTCCCCTGATCCAGGGAACCCAGCGCCCACTCCCAGAATGAGCAGCCTTGGGTTCCAGTGCTTGAGCAACAGGCAGTGGTTCTGGCTGCCCTCAGGCTGTTGTGGCACCTCTGGCATTGCTCAGTGTAGCTGGCTTCCCTGGACTACGTTATGGCTGAGTCCCTGCTCTCTCTCTGTGACGTTACCACTCTTTCCCCCTGTGATTTCAGAACATTCAAGTTGAAGATAGCAGAGACTTCAGAACTTTCAGCATAGGACAGGCTTGTGAACATTCAGTTCAGAGCATCCATGGTATAAAGAAGATTACATGCCTTTCTCCCAAACATTTAAAAATATGTCAGTTGGAGGGTAATCTGGGTTACTCCTGGAATATGTTTCTACTTACATATGTACTGGAATATTTATAGAATTTTTATGCTAATTCGGCCCTGTCCTGCGATTTCAAGAGGAATAGCCATTTTACTACTGATGCTTTTATGGAGAGAGAGAGACAGAGAGACAGAGAGAGAGTTTTGAGTAACTGCTACAAACATTTTTTCATTGATCATGTTTTTACAAACCTGTAGAGTTGTAGTCTTGGATTTTGGTGGATCTTACCACATGTTTAATAGTTTAGAATAAGTTTATTTCATTAGGACAACATTTTAGTATCAGTATCTTTAAATTTAAGACATTTAAGTTTTATTTTTGTTATAGAAGAAGTAATGCTTTTTGAAAAAATTCAAAGCGTATAGTTGAAAGTAGGTCCATGTGGCTCTAGTCACCCATCCCATTGTTTTTACATGACTGATAACAGTTCCTATACACCCTCCTAGACTTGAAAACATTTTATATATGGGTATGTAATACATACACAGAAGCACATAGTACAGAATCTTTCTAAAGCAAAAATGACAACTTTCTGGACTTCCTGCTTCGCAGCAGTCCGTGCCTTCAGACACCGAGTTGGAGTCCCAGTTCTGTCACTTACTAATTTATTAGCAAGGTGTGTCACTCCTGTGCCTCGGCTTCCTTACCTATAGAACAGGCCAAAGAACGGTACGCACTTCCTTGGGTTGTCGAGTTGAATGAAGTAATAGTTATAACTGTGTGTAGTGGTGGCTGGCACACAGTGTATAGAAGATAGATACTAACCAGGTAAAAATGAACGTCCTTTAAAAAAAACACACATTACAGATGTTTTCTTAAGAGTTGCTGAGTTGCTAAACTGAAAGAGTGTTGCGTTTTAAAACATCCTCTGTGTTGCGGGGTAGCGTTCCGAGTCTCACTGCTGTAGCAGCATGTCTGTACCGGTTTTGTACAGCGATTCCACATGCTTCCCACCCGCGCTGTTGCAGTGAATTACTGATGGGCAATGAGATGGGATGTGTTTGCCTTTAGAAGACTATACTGATTTGCAGTTGATCCTTTTGCTAACTAATCCTTTAAAGAAAATTAGGAAAGTGGAGTTGGTGGAATTATATCTGTGGGGGAATGACATGATTATTTAATCTACTTCACGCTTTATCTTCTTTGAATAATTTTATAATTAGAAGGGACCTGCTAATTACGTAGTCCTCATTTTACGGTGAAGAAATTGACCCAGAGTAGTCGTGAAGTTCTCCGTTGTATCGCTAGTAATGGTGGAGCCAGGACTGGAATCCTGGTCATCAGCTCCTCCCTGTCTGCATCCTTAAGAAGCTCAGGAGCCTGTCTACCAGTTGAAGCAGCTGTTGAATAATGGATGCACTGTAAGTGGCTTGTCTGTCAGTGCTGTGTGCTTCAACTGTGTTTTGTGTAGAGACAGTGACTAAGTTGTGTCATAAGCACTAGTGCGTGCTGTTTTATAAAAAAAAATTTAGAATTCCAGGAGAATTGTTGATGAGCTTTGAATATCACATGTATTCAGTATTATTTGGTTCAGTGTAGTGCATATTAAGGGTATTGGAGACCGGTGGTTATGTGGGGGAACATCACGTTCAGTGAGGTTGCCACTTTGTCTTGTGAACACCACTCGAAAGCGTTCATGCGCAAATAGGCCCCTTTCAGCACGGAGCTCCCTGGTTCCCTGCCCTTCTCTGTCTCTTGATGAAGAAGCAGACTGCTGTTCTCTGGAATGTAGATCACTTGGTTGCGTTCCCTCTGCCTCTGTGCCCCGGCAGTTCTCACCCCCTGGTTTGCAGGAGAGTTAAAGCTTTGGGGCAGGGGGAGCTTTAGGAAAAGGACATGAGTGTGAGCGTGTTTTGGAGGCTGGGCTCCTGCACCTCTCTCCCCGCTTCTCCTTTGTGGGGAATGGCCCTCGCTCAGGAGAGGATCAGACTCTCCACTCCCTCCCAGGGGGCGCTGCTGCCCACTTGCAGGGCTTGTGATGAGGAGGGGAGGAGAGCAGGGCTGGGGAGGCTCCTGAGGCTGCAGCAGGAGGAGGGGAGAGGAGGGAGCTCCACAGTACCAGCCTCCCAGGCTGCAAGGTCTGGGGGCTGAGAAGGGAGACACCGAGCTGAGGGCTGAGCATATGGGAGAGATGACTGCAGGAGAGTAACTTTGAGGACGTTGTATAATCTGAGCGAAAGAAGACAGGACTGTTCATGAGATCCAGAACCCTGCTGTGGCCACATGTAACGTGGGAGAAATACACCGCCTGGCTTCCTGGCCTTGACGTCACCTTGAAGTGTAATTAGGCATAATGAAAAGAGCCTTTGTAAGTTCTCAGACTTATCTTTTTGAACTTCTACAAGTTTCCATCCTTATTATCCTCTTGCTCTCAAGTACCAGCATTTAAGATTAAAACAATAAAAAGCTTCAGTTTAATATTTTTATATTTTGCTGAATAGATAGTATATTTACAACTTAAAAACATTTTATTGACTATAGTTTTATTATATACACACACACGCACACACAATATAATATTTCAGTTATACTATGATTCTCATAGTGTTCTGTAGAAGAGCCTGGAAAATTCTAAGGCAGTTTCCACAGGAAATGTGTTCTTTCTACAGATAAACTTGGAACTTGTCTGCCTATAAATTGAGACTACCTTTCATAATAAGATACTTCCTCTGACTCCAAGTCTAGCAACAAGGCCACCCTGACCGTCCCTGGGCTCCGGTCTGAGGACGAGGCTGATTATTACTGCGCCTCATATAGAAGCAGTGGCCCTTTTGCACAGTGGTCCAAGTTCATGGGGAGGTGAGACCAAAACCCGCCCTGAGCTCACTCAGCTCTTCTCTTCCAAACTCAGGCTTTCATGTTTTTCTCAATAGTTTGTTCTGAAGTAATTAGAAAATTAAATAAAAATTTAAAGATTTCATGAAAACAAAAAGATACTTCCCTTTAAGGTGATTAAAGTAAATGATTTTTAGATCATTCACAGTGTTCTTTTATTCATGCTATGCCCTGTTCAAGTCTTAGTTTTTTGAGATTTTAAAGTAAAAAGATAAATTTAAAAATTGAGAGTTTAAAGGCAATATTTTTCATTCTGTTTTTGGGTACAACTCTGGATAAGGTGTATATACGCAGAGTGAATATTCTCCAAAGCAATGTAATAAATGGCTTCAGAATGCTCCATAATACCCATCGTTGTAGCTTCCTGGCCTTCAAATGTGTTTCTGGTGGGAAAGTATTAAGCTCTCAGAAAGTACTGTCATTTAAAGATCAGCTGTCCTGACACACATTGTCTTAATTTTCTTATGGTAAATATTCATGATAGAAGAAACGGGTTTCTTAACTCAGAAAGTGAGGTCTTTTTGAGATTTGGTAAAAGGCACACTTATTTCCAATGTTTTAGAAAGGCAGTACTACTTTATTTCCTTTTATTCTTTTTCCTCATCGCTGTCTTAAGTGCCTATTTATTTATTTATTTATTTGAAATGCAATTCACATAATATAAATTTAACTGTCTTAAGGTGAACGGTTTGATTCAGTGCATTTAATACATCTACAACTACCACCTCTATCTTGTTCCCAGATATTTTCATCACCCCAAAATGAATCCCATACCTATTAAGCAGTTACTCCCCATTCTTTCCTCCCCTCAGCCTTAGGGTACCTTTTTTAAAATTTGAAATTGAGAAATTAAAAAATTAATAAAACTTCGTGTTATAATTGATATAAGACTAGATTTAGTCTGTTGTAATGGTTGTAAAATTAGATCACAAAACTGAGTATACTTTGTGTATATTTACAACCATAAGGGGGAAAAAGGAATACTTGGTAGGAAACACCAAAGTAACAGTGATTTTGCTCTAGATTTTCTTTTCTTCATTTAAAGGAGGGGGAAAATATCTTCCCACAATTACACACACACACACAAAAATAAAAACTTCTAGATATTTAAGAGCTTGGGCCTAAACTTACTATTATTATAACGTAATTATTTATTTCAGGATATTAAACTTCTTTCGGATTGAGTACAATTTTTTTTTTTAGTATTTTTTGAATGAAAAAGATTTGCTGGAGGAACAGAACTACATAATATTTGTAGTTTTTCAACCCTCCAGATTATCCCAGATTATGAATAGCTGTTTCAAGTAAGCTGTGTTCTAATTTATTTTTCATTTAAAAATGAAGTTCGTGGGACTTTGTTTTCAAACTATAAAAACATCATATTCTTGTTGATAGAAATCGAATACCACAAGGGTACACAAATAAAAGCTACCAGTCTCCCCTCACAATAGTTTTCTTTTGTATCTGCTTAAAATAATTATTAGCAGTTTGGCAGTCTTGTTAGCCGTTGTCATGTGGCTTACATGTACTTAGAACAAAATTGGATCTAATTGAGTAAAAATCTCAAAATGCCTTTAGGATGGCCCCATCTTTTTTTTTTTTTTTTTTTTTTTTTTTTTTTAATGGAGATACTGGGGATTGAACCCAGGACCTCAGGTATGCTTGGCATGCACTGTACCACTGACCAGTCCTCCCCACCTCCCAACCTTGACTCCTGGTCCCCCTCCACTCCCCCTTGCTATCCATTAATGTAAATGTGCGAATGCACGGAGGAAAGGCAAGGCCCCAGGCTAACTGCAGGGGGACTCTTACCACTGAAAGCTTTCTTATTGAAAAATAGTTAGTGCTCTGTTCTGGCCAGACATCAGTGCACTCGCCTAGTCTTCCTTGCCCTCCCCTCCCTCTCAAATACAGATTGAATGTATGTCAAAAATTTATTTGTCTCCTTAATGAGGGAACCAGCAGGATGGCAAAGCTGATTCCAAGAGCATTTGAGAAGTTAAGTGTATGCAGGCACTGAAGAATGAATGTTGAAATAAATTGCTAGACTATATACAAAATTGGTTAACGTCCTGCAGGTTGTAAAACCATAACCTTTGGAGTCTGCTGGACAGAAGTTCTACAAAATAAAGTCTATAATTTGACCTGTAATGTTACAGAATTTGGGTCCAAATCAATAGTAAACAGCAGGTCAAACAATGGTACTGTAGTTAAATATCTTTGGGATGTTTATTGTACAGTATGTTTCACCACACACTGAAAGTGCTTGCAGTTCTTGATTCACTTTATTTCCAGGTTTGGCTGACTTTTCTTAATGAGAAAGGCCTCTTGTGATGTATGATTAAGGAAGACCAATACAGTAGAGATCAGATCTTGGAAGAGCTTGGTATCTTAAACTAAGAAATTTAAACCTCCTTTCAACAACTGTTTATTGAGCACATACTGTGTGCCCGGCAGTGGATTTGTCACAGTCTCGAGTGTGTGACTGTGCCTTGGTGCCCCTCCCGTGCCCCCAGGGGGCCCACTGGTGGTTCTCAAATGGTTGCCTTAGGGTGTCACCTGGGAAGTTGCTTTTCTCAGAATAGACATATCCCTTGTCCTTCTGTCTCAACCTCAATGTAGATGTCCCTGCTTGAGTGGAGCATACGTGGTTAGAAAAACCTTTACAGGTGATTTTTATATCCTTTTCCTTTAAAAAATTATTGTTGTGTTTATTGCACTTTTTTTTCAAAGGAATTGAATGAGTAAACAGCAAGCAAAATTGCAATCAATATTTTTAAATTTTCCATCCCCCTTAAAAATAATGTCCTGATTGTACCCTCAGCAAGACCTGCATGCCATTGTCATATTAGAATTACATTTACTCCAACTGAGACATTAATTTGGGAAGAACTGGGCTTAGTCTTCTTAATTGGATCCTTAAGTTACGCCTCTCACTGAAGAAACTGAAAGAGTTGTCATTTGTTTGCAGAAGTATATGATCTGCATGGCAAAGATGTGATTGAAAAATTAGACTTCAAAATATTTTTAATGAGAAAAAAAGACTGTCATTAACTTACTGGAGAGTGTGGTAAAAGGGAGTAAGTAATAGAGGAGAAAAGTGTGTATGTGTTTAACTTGTCGTGAAACTATTTAAGTCAACAATTAAAATGAGCAGCTGTTGTGGACATGAGTTTGAATTCTCTTTGGTGTAACTTTAATTTGGCAGCCACTTTGTGTAAATGCACTCACAAAGCAGAGATTTTGATTTCAGTACACCTCAGCAGCCATGGAGTTTATAACTTAATCACAGGATGTGATATTACAGATTAGGGGAGAAACTGGGAAATAACATGATACAATTGGTATATTGTGTATTTTTCTTTTTATTAGTGTGCCAGTCCCACAAAAGCCCATGGGTCGGTCTGACTTGTTCAAGTGTCCACTGTGGAAGGTAGGTGGCATACTTATCCTTACTTTGCTACCCAATTTGCTTTTTTCAATTTACCTTTAAGCTTTATGTCAAAATTTGATTGATTTGGGTTTATTTAGCACCACTGCTTAATCATAGTGTGTACGTAATTCTCCGTAGGGCTTCCCTCTCCTAATAGAATCCCTGTTCAGCGATGGAACTGAGGGAAATCTAGAGGAGGAACCCTGTTTTGTTGATACTCTGAAGAATTAATTTGATGATCGAGACAATCTACTAGAAATATGTGACAGTCTGCTAGAAATAAAAGTTGCAATAGGGAACTCTGATGTCTTACGAGTGTTTTAAATCCCTTTTATTAGGGTAAAGTTAAGCATACTCAGAAGTAGAGAGTTTAACTAACTGAACCCTGTATTTTTACCGCCCAGCTTCAACACTTAGCAACACGTGGCCAATTTTGTTTCACCTATTACCTATGCCCCCCTTACCTTTACTGACGTTTGAATCAGATCCTGGATAACATTATTTTTCTGAAAACACAACACTAGCATATTTACAGGTAAAGGAACTCCCTTGAGAATGATCTCACTGTGGGGTTATTAATGCTGTCTCAAATGTACAAAATGTTTCATTCCATTAAGACGTTTTTGCTTTCTAGGCTCCCAACCCCAGTTCCAGCCAGAGCATTTCCTCCTAGGTGTTGGCCCCAAAATGACTTTACTTAAATGTTAAGTACGTTAGTAACTCTTCTAACACAAACACAAATAAAGATCAACCTTTGTGTGCCTTGTAGTAGCACATTTATTTCTGTCACTTTTTTATCTTAGATAATCCACTTTGAATTTACTTTAGAAGTTAAAGCCCGGCAGCAGGGAGATGGGAAATCATACCAAGTGGCACAGGCTGAAATCTGTATTGCATTTATTTGGACTGTTTCCCCATTGTTATTTATAAACCTTCATTGCGTGAAGAGAGCATCTTATTTTCAGTCCTGGAATTGACTGTTTTTTTCCATGTACACTTAGGAGTACCTTTGGAAAATGTTAACTGCATATCTTAATTGTGGTTGTTGTGGTTTTGAAATCTCTAGGATTTGGGGAATCTGAGAATACTTTGTACAGATAGCATTTTTTTACAAAAAGAAGAAAAGTAGACACACTTAAATTCTGCACTTCGAAGAGACAGATTCCTCTCCTAGATTTTGAGAGGTGAGAGTTACAATGTAATAGAATTTATGTAATTTTATCCTCCGGTTGTCTCATAGTGCTCTGCAGCCTAAAGCTTTGAAGGTCATATGTCAACAAAAAGACCTGACGAACTAAAATATTGGAGAGATTAATGTCCTTAACAGCAGGCAACAAGCAGTTCTCTAAGTAGGTTTGGAGAAATAATCAAGCTGTGAAAATCCTACCTAATAAAACTGAAAAAGGGAAAGAAAAGAAGAAAGTGAAAACTTTCTAGGCTCTGTAGGCAGCATGCTTCCAGCTGTAAGCAAGCTTAAATTTAGGTACTTGACATGGTGCAGACATACATGATTAAGTAGATTACAGGGATGAGGAGAAGAGCCTGCATTTGGAGCTTCATTTTACATAGCTCATTGGCTAAGTTCTTTTATCACATAATCCTGGGTATTGATTGCCGAGGATTCTGGTTTTTTAAGTGATTTAGCCCACTTGTCTGTAGGGAAGTCTTAAATTGAGTATTTTTTCCACTAGGAAGCATAGTTTATCTGTAGCGTATTTGAGTTATATATCCTATTAGTCTTTATGACACCATCCCATTTGAGCTATTTTTCCAATTCTTGCTGTTGTTAAAAAACCTGTGATGTGTATGTTGACGCTTTTCCTTTTTAGATCAGATTGTCTAGTTAAAATCTAAAACTGGATGAGAGAAATATTTATTTTGAAGTTAGCCAGTTTATACATGTCTGTTAACTTCTGACTGATGCTTTGAGTATTAGCCAAAACATTGTTACTCTTAATGTCAGCAGTAATGCAGCCCTGCTGTGTCACTGACGTTGACATGTGAGCATTTAGTACATTTGGAGACTACAGTATGTGTGTAAATGAACTATATGTAATGCAAGCAGTTTTCAAAGATTTGACCGTGGTAATGCCTTTATTATCATTCCCTATTGCCTTTTCTTGCATTCTGATGGTACTCTTCATTATAAATATTTCTTTGTTTTTCATGGTGCAGTATAAATATGTGTAAGCCTAGGAATTAAGCTGTAAATACATACAAGCATAGGAAATTAAGCTGATTAGGTATTGAACCTATAGGCTCCCCTGGAGTTTATCTTTTAATTAAATATGGGGTGTTTCCTGACATGTGCAATGTGTTATCTCTAAGTATGGACTTAATATGATGACTTTCTAAGCAATTATGTTATTTGGATTCTGTATAAATTAAGTAGTTAAGCAGGAGGCAGGGTCTATAGCTCAGTGGTAGAGCATGTGCCTAGCAAGCATGAGGTCCTGGGTTCAATCTCCAGTACCTCCATTAACAAAAAAATGCCCCAAAACCTAATTACCTCTCCCTCCACCAAAAAAAAAAAAAAGGTAGTTAAGCATATAAAGGAAAATGCGAATAAAAAATTGCTAACATTCATTCATGCATGCATGCATGCATTCTGAGCCATGGATTGTTTAATCACCTAACAACCAACAGTGTAAGTGTTGCTACCTCCATTACAGGTAACAGAAGCCCAGAGAGGTTAACTCAGCCCGGCTCCCCTGGCCAGCAGGTGACAAAGCCTACTTTTGAACCCAAGCAGTCCAGTTTTTGAGTTTATACTCTTAAATCATTTTTTAAAAATTCATTTTAGTTCACTTTTGTAAACTTAAGACCCTTGTACCCACAAGTGTTGGTTATGTTTATTACAATGAAAAAAATGTGGGAAAAAACCATGACCAAATTCAGAGTTGAGTGGAGGGTGGCAGTGCCTCTCATGTTTCCAGCTTTCCTGGGGGCAGAGGCTGGGCTTGTGGTTGGTCCTCCTCGCTTTCCCCAGCTTTCCCCAAGGAAAGTGTTGCTCCTTGTACAGTTAAGGCGCCTTGTGACAAAAATGTCACCTTAAATCTCTGAGCAGATTTATTTTGGTGCTGTTAAATCAGCATTCGTTTTGACTGTTCTGAGTTTTCCATTAGGCCTTGCCCTCTACAAATCAGCTGCTTTCTAGGAACTGGGGACTTTTAGTTTTTGTTTTGTAAGGGTCTTCAAGTAGTGTTCAGTTACGGCTTTGTACATAATTTTGGTGAAGATGTAGGTGAATTTGTGTGTACAGCATGTGCATGTGATCCCTCAATTTAGTTTCATTTTGCTTTTTGTGAGAAAACAATGTATTCAATCTGAATTGGAAAGTGTTAAGTTTTATGACTGTAGTCAACCTTTGATTATGTTTGTCCATGTAGAGAAAGAAAAGTTTATATAAGGTTAACATGAGTTGTGTTTTGTTTGGATTTTTTCTGAACAAACCTATTCCGTATGAGTGGAGTGATTGTGCAGGCATTCAAATAAAAGATTTGCAGCCATACCGATGAGAGAAAGATGGGAGGTTGTCCTGTTTCACTCTCCGATTCTCATATTTTATATTAAGCAGGGCATGTGACCCTGTGGGCAGTGATTGAGTAATTTAGTTTACAGAACTTGTCTTTGATAATAGCCTGAGTTGGGGGTTAGCTGTCTGGGGAACACTTTAAAAAAAGAAAAAAGCTGTAGCAGAAGGATGTAGCAGAGAAGTTGATAAGCGGTAATATCACTGGTGTTGAACTGATTTGCGTAGATAACACCTTCCTTGCCTGGCCCCAGTCTTGTGTGTAACTGAGAGCCGACTGTCATACGTGATTGCGAAAGAAGAGCATATTTTAAGTACTCAGCTTAATAAATCACTAAGTGACTGAATGCTCTTACAGGAATGAATGCTCTTATTAGGAAGAATTCTGTCTCATTTCTGATTTGATAACCATCTAATTTTATTATCATCTACTACTACTTTACCTTCCAAAGCAGTATTTAGATTAAGATAGATTTTCATTTGATTTTTGTAGGTATGTGAATGGTCATGCAAAAAAAAAATTACGAAGACACACAAATACCCTTAATCAACCATAAGAAGTCAGAAAAGCAAGAGAAAACTCAGCACACGGTGTGTAAGGATTGCAGTAGCTACAGTACGTACTGGTAAGTGTTACTGTTTTCTAAAAACGGTGTTCCTTTACCGTGTGAGGGCGAGTGTTTTCTCATCTTCCTCGCTCTTCCCGCTTGCCCCAGCCTCTAAAGCAGTCGAGACGGCCACTGCTGCCTGTGAGTTCTGTGGGGACTCACAGAGGACGGGGCCACCAGGAGCACCTGTCCGTGTTCATTCCGATGTCCCTTTGCTTTGCCTTTTCAGCCTCCCCGCCACCTCTTCTTCCCACCCCGTAGGCTGCAGGGAGATGAAAGGTCACTAGTATTTGCTGTTGCTCATTGTAAGTCCTTTTCTTTTTCTTGTTTTGTTTTTACTTGAAGAATGAGAAGATTAAAAACTCATGCCCACCTCAGATAAAAACCCATGTTCCTGTTGTCCAGTTAACATTTTGTTATATAATCTTAAAATTATAACTTCTTTGTTTAAAAACTTACTTTGACAGTCTCCCCTCTCCCAACACAGTTCCGGTCTCCTCTCCTCCTTGGTAGACACACGTCAAGAGTTTTGTGTGTAGCTTTTCAGACGAATGTTTGTTTAAAGTATCACATCTTTTAAAAAGATATTGGGGGCCCTGTTCTCTCCTTGTAATAAAGTCTACCTGTCTGTTTCATATAAATGACTGTAAAGTTAGTATCTGTTTTTGTGATGACTTAGAACTAGGTTATTTACATTACAAGTGATGTTTAACAACCCATGACCATTTGGTCTGCTCAAAAATTCAGTGTGTTTTACAGCTTCAATTTTAGTGTGAAGCAAATTTCTTCCCTTGTCTAGTAAATAATGAAGAATTCTTTTTTTAACTTTTTTTTATCAATTTATAATCATTTTACAATGTTGTGTCAAATTCCAGTGTAGAGCACAATTTTTCAGTTATACGTGAACATGTATATATATTCATTGTCACATTTCTTTCTCTGTGAGCTACCATAAGATCTTTTATATATTTCCCTGTGCTATACAGTGTAATCTTGTTTATCTATTCTACAATTTTGAAATCCCAGTCTATCTCTTCCGACCCCTGACCCCCTTGGCAACCATAAGCCTGTATACTATGTGTACGAGTCTATTTCTGCCCTGTATTTATGCTTTGTTTGTTTATTTGTTTTTTAGATTCCACATATGAGCGATCTCATATGATATTTTTCTTTCTATTTCTGGCTTAGTCCACTTAGAATGACATTCTCCAGGAGCATCCAGGTTGCTGCAAATGGCGTTATGTTGTCGGTTTTTATGGCTGAGTAGTGTTCCATTGTATAAATATACCACATCTTCTTTATCCAGTCACCTGTTGATGGGCATTTAGGCTGTTTCCATGTCTTGGCTCTTGTAAATAATGCTGCTATGAACATTGGGGTGCAGGTATCATCCTGAAGTAGGGGTCCTTCTGGATATAAGCCCAGGAAATAATGAACAATTCTTTACTTGTTTTAATCGCTTTACTAAATTCAAAAGGTTTTTCATATTGAAAGGAGAAAAAAAAACAAGCTATTTAAAGGATCTCTTTGGATTTGTTGTTGTTGTTGTTGTTGCCACACAGCCCTGGAATCAATGTCACACAAAGGCCGAAGGTAATACTGGGCAGGGATGGGGATTTAAAGTCCAAACCCCACTTTTGATTCATACTTTCTACTGAAGTTGTGTGCTGATCCTTTCTGTATCATCCTTAGTTGATTGTTGTAGAAAGCTGTCCATCAAAAGGAAGGAAAGAAAGGTTGGTGGCTTCCCAAGTTGACCTTTTTATAGGTTTAACATTGCTGTGACTATTGAGTAAAGCCTCGTGAGGGCTAGCCTTCCAGATCACTACCATTTCTTTGATCCTTTTGCAGAAGGTGTCCAGACCTGGATGAGAGAGAAGCTAGAGGCAGATGGCAATGTCAGTAAAAGTGAAAGCCTTCTCAGGATTTTCACACAAGGCCTAGTACTCAGTCTATTGTTATTTGTTCTCATAAGACCCTCCTTCCTACAAAAGTTAAGTGTTAGCCAAGCTGTTAAAGTGTTTTCATTTGTTTCCCCTCCTTTCCCTCAGGAAACTAGAATGACAGAGCTACCTAATTGACAGAACTGTGTGTTTCTGTAAGGTTGCAAGTATTCTCTTTAGACAGCAGAAATTAAGATCGTTCTTGAAGTATCCGTCTCACAGTCATCAGTGTAGGTCATGGCATCCTGTTCGTATGAGATGTTGAAAACATTCAGTCTTCTTGGTTTTCAGTTAGCAATGTGCATGAAAGGCGTAATGGGGAAGTTTGTAAATACAACTAAATCTCTGTGTGAGGTGGGTTTTCTTGCTGTTGGTGAGATTATGAGGAAGTAGTAACTCTTCAGGAAATTTAAAGAATTACCTTTGAATTTTCATAATGGAGTGGAATTCTATTCATAGGTCTGTTTAAAGATAAAGATTATCTACTTTAATGTCTTTGTATATTGCATTTTGGAGGAATATCTTCATTAAGTAGAATTGGAATTTAGTTTGTTTTATATTTAATTTAATTTGTTTTAGCACGCTAAAGTACAAGTCATTTTACGGCCGAATTGGAATTAAATGGCAGATCTTGAACCTTGGGGAATAGACACCGTGGCAGGGGCTTCTTGGCAGTTGCCAGTCTTTTGTGTGATGCTGTACAGAGCTGTGAATGTGTGGACACCCAGAGCTTCTGAAATGCAGGGAGCTGCAGCTGGTCACAGAACCATCCCATTTGTGGTTTTAGAACAAAATGCCAGGAAATTTTGTTCCTGTAGCTTGATACTGACAGCCTACAAGGAACCTGTGAGAGTGGCAGACCGATGAGGCTGCAGTTAGAATCCACATTTCCCACACCTCACTATGATGAAGAGACAAACAAAAAAGGCTTTCTTCCGCATGGGCTGTGTGTGTCTGTGTGTATGTGATTTTCCAGCGTACTTTAGTATTTTCACTTCAGTTTGTAAATTTTCCTTGTGCATAAATTTCTTGTGGTTAGACTGAATGGTTTGCTTCAGAGGTAAAATGTTGGTATATTAGATTAAACCTATTTGATTATTAATTATTATGCTTGTAGTCAAAAGACTTTGACTATAGGTAATGTTGAAGTGCCTTTTCCAAGTGCTCCGTGCTCTGAGGAGGTTGAAACATGCTCTGAGGCTGACCGTTTTTCTGTCCTTATCTTCCCTTTTCCAAGAGGCCATGTGCGTCTGTCTGTGCAGATGCTTTATGAAGTTATCACTGGGCTGTCCACACTGTGCCATCCTCCTACCCCCACCCCAGCTCCAATTGTAGCTGGATGTGATCTCTCCTAAACTCAGAGTTCCTTAGATACTTGTAATTTCCTGCTGCACGTTAGTTATTTGTAAATGTCCCTGGGGCCTGCAGGAACCATATGTCACATCTTTATATGGACCACAGTACTCAGTGTCTGGTGCAGAGCAGGGAGTAGATGTTTGAAAGCTTGAATTTTGTTAACTATCTTCCAAAAATGGGGGAGGTTATATGCAATTTATATTACTGTGCCCTCTTGATCCTCTTGGAGGACTGAAGGGCTGCAGAACGTTTTTCCTGCAGACCTAAAATCATAGCATGCGTGAGCTATTCCATATACTTCCCAAGAGGGACACCCTTGCAGAGCAGCTCGCTTCACCTCTGATGTAAAGAGGGCATCCAGAAGAGGCACGTATCAACCAAGCAGAACAGCATAAAATAGGTCACTATTTCAGAAGAGGGAAAACACCACCAAAGGGAATAATTCTGATCTGATACAGACCCACTGCTTTGGGAGATAAATGAAGGTTTCAGTAAAAATGAACATCTCAAGATTTTCACACAAGGGCGAGTGTTCAGTTCATTGTGTATTCAGTGATATTTCCTTTCCTCTCACCTCAACTCCCCTCCCCTGGTGTACAGTACTGGATCAAAAAGAAAGACTAAAAATTAGGGGCTTTGATTTCTTATGTAGACAGATATTTAGAGTTAATTTATTTTAAAAATACTGAACAGATAATTTTTGACACCTGACATAGCCTTGTGAACTTGTGATAGCTGAATTTCTGAGGGTTCAAAAGTATGAAAGGGATATTAAAACTAATTTACCAGAATTTTTCCTTCTTGGCAGGGTAATGTTTTAAAACACTCCTTCAAATGGAGAAATATGAAATGTGAGTCAATTGATTTGTCTAGAAAATGGATTACTAGTTCAGATTTTAAACAGCTATAGTAAATAGCAGTTTTAATTAAAATTAATAAAAATAAAGTTTATATTTGTAGGCTTAAATTGATAGTGAATCATTTTCAGAGGGAGTTGTGATTAAAAACAGGAAGATCTTTTATTGAGTAGCCTTCTAAACTTTTGGACACAAATTTTCAATTTTGTAAAGATTAGATAATAAGAATTTTTAAAATTTAAAAACAGTATTTTGGAGTTTTAGTAAAAAGGAACCTTTTAACACATGGTCTGAATAGAAAACTCTCTTTCTTAATAAGCTGGTGCTTGTCTGCTTTTAACAGAGGAAATGGATTTTTCCTGCAGGTATTCTCATTTTCTAGAATTGGCTGATTTGATGGCAATACGTTAGAATTGAATAAAAGAGAACTTAAAAATAAGCTCATTTTCTAAAAGAGTTCTTTAGATTTTTACTTTTCTGGGTTTGAAATAGGTGAAGTCATTAGAACATCAGCTTTTTTTTTTTCTGTATCTGTATCTTGTCATTTATAATAAAACTAGAGGTCAAAGTTTCCTCTAGATATCCTATTATGATGATATTATCTATTAAACAGGAAAATGAAAAAGAATTTAAAATGTAATGATTTATTTGCCCTTGTCATTTCTTGAGGGTTACTTTTTACATAAAAGATTTTTTTGTATTAATATTACACATGACTTACTGTATAAAGATTGCTTCATAGCCAGCAGATTAAAGGACTTGTTTCTTTATTGTTGCTTAAAATGTCAGGTTAATTTGTACAATGATTACTTCTTGTTACAAATGAGTAAAAAATAGTTTGGTCTGAGAATATTTTCTTAGT